AGATGGAGCATATCATAAATATTTGCCAAGTGACCCATTCGTGTGGAATGCAACACAGCAAAAGGATTGTTTTAATTATTTCAAAACTTCGCCAAATGCTTGTGAGCACAAAAACACACATATACGTTCAAATAGCAGGCAACATGCAACAAAATGCGACATGGCAACCCAGCCTTTGCCTCAGAATCGAAATAAAGTGATGTCTATACGTGTACGTGTGGGTGAATGCCGCTCTTAGGACCCTACGATATAGGGCACTGCAATAGGCGTGCGGTTTGTCACATTGTTTTTTCTTTATTTGTTTTCCACCCAAAAGTGGGGAGTGGGGAGTGGGGGCTTGTGACCGAAAAGTTTTTCGACAGTTTTAAAAGTTTCTCCACTGGCCATTCGAAATGGAGTTCTGTTAGAATAGGATTATTTTTCGCAACCGATATGAGTCGGATGCTGGACACACTGCGGTCGTTGGGAGCGTGCGTGCCTGTGTGCAAATTAAAGTTGAGTTTGCTATAATTGTAAGGATATGACGTACATTAACAGGGGGAAGTTTTTATTTTACGTGCATACAACAAATAAATATCCATTTACGTACATATAAGTGATAAGTTTATAATGTACAATACATACTATACATGTGTGTTAATAGGTCTTGCTCATATAATTTATTTAAGCTTTAGCTGACGTTTGAAATAAAATTTTAACTGTTTAAATTATGTTGCCGAGGATAATATTTAATGGAAGTTGTTTGTCTGGTTTTATATTTATTGAGACTAAGAAGCTTTTATTTGCTTTTCTCTGAAATTAGTGTAAGAAAGGCTGCAATTTTAGGTAATCCAGCATCTAAGCGGCTACGGCAGTCTCACTCTGTGACCCGGCTACAAATTCACCTTTGCGCTCGAACAGCAGGTTCCAAGACTTCCACGTTAGTAATAAAGGTTTGTAAAACCGAGTCTATACAACAATACAATTGCGTACAACTCTTTCAAACTTTTTAAGTTCCCGGTCGCTGATGGTACCATACCGGCGCAACTGTAGCGGACAGTGAAGGTGGCCTGCAGCTGGCTGGAGACTAGTTAGAGTGGCGTTTATACAATGTATTTCAGGCTTGTTAGTTATCCTCGTATCTGTTGAAAACGTTGGAGAGGCTTATGAACATGTACATTAGGAGCAGAATACCGAGAGACAAATTATTAATCGACGCTGCTCTGCACGCTGTAGTGTTAGGCTGGAGGAGCCCTTGTGCATAAGAAATTTATGAAAGGCACCTTCTCGACATCGAGGAGACCTTAAACGATGTTCGGTCGGAGACAGTGTTAAAACTACTAAAGAGCTCTAAAAACGGGGCTGTTGGGAATACCCTACGCTGACGACGTTGCTCTTATGGTAAAAGGAAAAACGAAGGAGGATACCTTATGGAGGCCATAGCAGTGTTTTAGCTCTATGAAACCGTAAACATAACATAAATGTTGTATAGTGTATTCATGTGGTAGGGGGTGCTTAAAAAGGGTATACTCGCTAAGAAGCTTGAAAGTATCCAAAGAGCGGCTCTCATTGACATTTTCGGTGCACTGCGGACCAACAATAGCACTTAATGCCATTTTACACATAGCACTCGTGGACATTGCTGGTACATGCATTGCTGCGAAGTTCGCTCCAAGCCTGAGGGAAGCTGGGTATATAAAGGTGCTCGAACAAAGATACGCTGATATTTTCTGCTCCTTTAACTGCACTCCTGAAAACTTGAATCACTGCGTCACAGAGGCTACTCGTGTCGCCTTTTGTTCTGCCTTCTATACATACCGAAGTGGACGGCGAGGAGTCGCAGAAGAAAAGGCGGAGTGAGTTTTTTCACGGATGGTTCGAAGCTGGGAGGGAAGGTTGGAGAGGAAGTTTTTTCAGACTACCGGATCACTGCAATGGATCACTTCAGGAAGGAGAAAAATCACTCCGACAGCAGAGCGACACTACTAGCGATGAGCTCACTAACTCTGCGCTTAAAGTTATTCAAGGAGTGCCTGTTCCCATTAGAAATAGCATCAAGCTACTTCAACATCAGACTCGTTTAGGTGTCCGGTCATAAAATAATCGCTGGTAACTACAAAGCCGATGAGGTAGCCAGAGGAGGCAACCTTGTCCCGCTCACATCGGTATATGAGTTGGATTTCCATTGGCATCTTCCGTTCTAGCACTAGACCACAAATGACCGCCGTTTTTATCGGGTGATGACATTTCACATTTTCTTCATATCATGAGTGAATAAACCACTTTTGGTAAGCCTAAAAGACAGCTGGTAGTACGATAAAAGTCATCCGGCCGAAGGAAACATCGTTATTTATAGAACCCGAAATTTTATGAAATAAATAATTCAAAATGCCTCCATAGCACATATTCTACAACTTCTTCGGGTAAACCCTTATCGCTAATAAAGTCGTATAACTTAATTTAAGCTTACTACTAGTTACTAAACAGTTACTATTTTACTTCATAACTACTTTTATATGTAATATGCATAGCTTATCGCACATTAAGCTCATAAAAATTATGAAACATCAGCAACAACACGGTCAGATAGAAATGTCACCAAAACAAAATCAAAGAAAAATGACAAAGAATTATTACAAACAACCGAAGTCATCAAACAAGCGACAATCGGTCAACAATTACCGTTGTAAGTAGCAATGTTATGAATAATTTAGGATATGATCCCTCGATAACCGTTAAGCGGCCAACGGAAACTGCCAGCACAAGCGAGGAAGAGCATCCATCCTTCCACAGCTGACCATCTAAGCGCTGCGTTGGGGGATGACTAAGCATACCGGCTATGCGGCTGCCACTAATCCTCTCGATATTGCCACTAAATGATAAGTGCTGATGTTGTCATTTCATTCAATCATAAATACCAAGTAAAATACATCCATATATCAAGTATCTCGATAACCCAACAAAAGTGGCGTGGCGTAGTGGAATGTGGCACAACGTCGCCTGGTTGAACGGATTCTTGCTTTATTGTCGGCTGTTGGGGAAACGATTGTATGGCCGTTGGTCGACTGGTTAAATGTTATTTTCTTTGAAAGTGTGTATGTGTGAATCGGCACGCATACTTTTCCTGGTTCATATATAGATATGGATGTAGTTTATACAATTGTTTGTTGTTATTGTTTTTCATTTTCTTTTTTGCTGCTGCGCATATTTTCCTTTGGTTATTATTGCTTGTTTTCTTCGTGTTGTGATAGATGTGCTCTCCACTGTACCAATCGTAATCGGCCAATCCGTTACGTCAATAATTGATGACAAGGCAGATATTACGCAAGTTAACGGTGGTTATTGTTTTCTTGATGGGCTCAGTTTCTTGGGTTGCACACAAGTACGGAGGGGGTATAATGTTATGATGCGGAACTTTAAGGTTCGTTTATATACTTGTGTGTATATAAAGTAAACAGGATGAGTTTTATGTCTAAAAACGATTTAGCGCAATTAGTCAAGTAAGTGGCTAAAAATTGTGGGTCCTGGCTTTGAAAATGAGATCAAAAATTATGAAAACAGACAGTTTGCCTCGCCAAATGCTTGGAGGTGACTTAGAACTTGTATATTCTTCAAGTGACTGGTGGCTTCCGCTTATCTAAGTAAATAACATTCTAAAAATGTCGAAATTATAGAATTATAGAACCGTTCCGGGTTTTCTCAGCTGAAGTTAGGAAGATAAAGCGTTAAATGTCGTTATTTTTATATTTCTGTAAAGCCTGCCGGATAAATAAAATTTAGTTGGATTCGAACTATTTCTGAACTGTTCAAGTTAAAATTATTTATATCTTAATCGAAAGACAACTAGTTTTGACTAGACATTCTAGGAAGGTCTAGTCCAAAATCCGATGTTCGATTAACTGTTCAAAGACATCGGTGAAAAAAATGTCACTCAGTTCAAGTTCGGAAGACATATCTTCTCTTCCTAACGCTACTTTCATTGGAAATATATGTATTTTATATAATATATATTTAAAACTATTCTTAACAGTTTTGATGTACTGAACTTGAACTTGTAAAACACCCCTTTGTCATCAATATGTTTTTCTAGCTTCACCACTGCCGCTGCCACTATTGGCAAACTAACTGACTGTTTCGACGGGCTCCACTTCAAAATAATAAAAGTTCTTCGGCCTGTTGGCTTGTTGATGTACAAAGTGAAATTCCATTGGTCGGAAATTATACAATCTTTGCAGAATTTTACCCTTTGTCGTTTATGGCTTGCATCTGGCAATTTGTCGTAAATATCATATGGATGTACATTCGAAAGGCAATACCATTGTGCTACCTATTAGCTTGTTCTTACTACTGCCAAATAAAGTTTAATTTTGATGACGCCATCGTGATGCCACGCATGGTCATTTAGTTTTTCTTTTTTTTTTGCCAAAGTCACATTGCCATTGGAATGGGGTTTGTGGTAGTACTACGGGGGTATTGAACGGTCTTCTAACCTCACACACTAAATAATTTTGTGTCAATATGACGGGAAGTTGATTGTGGTGCCACAATTGTTCTTGAATGTTGGTTTGTTTAACAACTTCTGGCCTTATAGGCAATAAACAAATGTCCGTATTAATATTATACTATATGTATGTATGTGTTCTTTTTGTTTTTGTAGCGTTAGGCCAAATACACTGGCGACGTTTCCGGCATAAATAATCGACATTAACCGTGGTCCTCTAATGGCATGAGAAATAAGAGCAGCGGTACATTAATTTTTACATGTCAGCGTCTAATAAGTAATGGTATGTGTGTATATACATATGTATATTTATATAGGATATTCTCGATATTTATTTATTGTAATTTTAAAACAACTCGTGCTTAATTTGTTTTGTGCGTAAACATTTCTTTTGTGCGTCTCTGGGCTGCAGAGCCTTTTTGAGCTTTTTGTAGACTTCAATTTTCATTACGTTGAATACTTCAATTTTTTATAAATACGCTCGTTCCTTTTTATGTTATAATACTATAGTGTAGTACTTTTATGTCCAAAATAATCTCTTCACAAGACGGGCGGTGAAATAGTAGATGACTTCCGTGAAGCTTAAAGCGCTGCAACCCAGGAAAAAGCCAACTAGACCGCCAATATAAACTGTAAAGAGATATTATAATATGGATATACAATACATACATACATATGTATAATAAAGATTATCATCAGAAAATTAATTCCTTTATATTGTACTTAGTCTTGCCATAACTTCTGTTACAAGTTCCGGCCGTTATAAAAATTAAACTATAATAAAAATTTTAATAAAGTTGATTTTATTTAATTATGCTTATATTCAATGATCTTTTGCTTTTTCACACAAGCCCTCAAATGATTCGGCCAAAGATCAAGAGCAGCACGAACAGTTTCTATTGGTATTGACGACGCTGCTCGAACCAAATATTTTTTAAAACTCAGCAAATTTCTGAGTATTATTCGACAGGTAATGTTCACCAATTTTGATCACAAACTATAGTCCAATGGATTCAAATCTGGACCACCAGACGGCCAAACTTCTGCAGCTATGTCCCCAGAAATAATGTTTTTAAGACACTGCTGGGTGGTTTTTTCCTTGTGTTTTTGCAGCGTTTTGCTGGAAGATCCAAAATACTTTCCATCGAAGGGAGTACCGCCTTACTGCTTCACCAAGCCTTGTAAATTATCCTGCTGGTACACTTTTGCTTCAGTTCTAACATCTTTTGGGAGGCTCCAACACCTACCAAACTACAGTTTTTGTCGTTTCGCTTATTAAAAAACGTCTTCAACAGTGAACATTTTTTCATTTGTCAAAATGATACTTTCATGGCCGTTAACCGCATCTGAACCGCGCCACTGAAGAAGCTTGCATCTTTTGAGCCTAATTTGTTTGAAGCGCCTTGTCAGAAGACGACCAGTTGTTCGAAATTAGGCTTTCATGTGGAGATCATCTCCAATCTGGTTATATATCTATTTTCCTTGATATCATTTTCGGTTTTATAAGAGGATGTCTTCGAATGCGTTCGCGAACAGTTTTGTGTCATCAACTCGAAATATTAAGTTTTTTGAAATGGTCATAAATTTCACTTGCGCCGTCACTTTTTACTGCGAATTTGTCCTCGCTGTATGCATTGGAAACTTTGTAACAGAATTTATTGCAAGATTAAACATATTTTCTAATATATAGTGAGGTAAATGTGTGGGTTATATATGGTACATCTAAATCGGCTTGAAGAAGTAAAGCTCATAACATATCTAATATCTTAAAGCTCTGTTGATCAATTAATGGACTGTAAATTAAAGATTTTCTTTTCTATTTATTATGTGATTGAACGCTAAGAGCTCCCTGTATTCAAAAATCAGAACTTAAACGAGAGTGATGAGAAAATATAACATATCTGCTTCAGAGTTATGATCGGAATTGCATTTACATAACCACTCACATGACTACTTTTATCATTAATTTTAAAATTTTTTTTTACTTTGCTTAAACTGGTCGAGAATTACACAACGTTTGCAAAACGAGTGAAATATTCGTTAAAGCAAATACAGCTAGCACTTACCCAACACATCAGCAAATGAAAAGAGCACATCACGTCTAAGCTGCATTTTTGGATAGTCTATAATGCCCCACTGAAGGTTTGCGCCCAAAAACCATACTCTGGATCGCTGTAATTATTATTATTAGGAGAGTAAGAATGAAATACATATGAATGTAGGAAATTGAAGATTTTTTTAGATTTTGCAGCGTCTGCAACCATAACCTATTCGAAATAATGAACGCCTTTAACCCTATAAATCAAGCAATCTTTATGTTATAATGTTGTTGTCAGAAGTTGTAGTATTTCTCGATTGCAGCGCTTTTCATTGACACATTGCAATTCTTCGTAACAATAATACATTGAAGCAGCGTATAGTGACTGTATGTTACTCAAATAAGACTATCAATTTCGAAGGAAAATATTTTCCTTTCACTGCGTTTTGCACGCTCATTCCCCGACGAACATTGTCATGCGCAAAAAAAAAATAAAACGAGTCGTAAACAATTGTCGCATTGCAAATACATAGAGCATTATGCTTATAAAAATCCGATACAACACATTCTCACTTTGTATAAAAGTTGGCAATGCAATGAAAGTGAGAGAGAGACGGAGGGGAGTAAAAATACATGAATGAAGCAATGCATTGGACAAAAAGTGTGGAGGACCAAACATATTTTTATCGGCATACAAATTGTGGCACTAACAGCAGGAGCCGGATATGCTGGTTGCCGAACTATTGCATGCTAACAACGCTGAGAAATTTGTGGCAACGCACACATTGTTGCGAGGGAGAATGTGCATTTGCGGAAGTCAAACAGCACCAGCAGATAGTTATACGAGTCATTTATGGAACAAGCGGGTGTCATAGGTGCCCCAGTAAAAGCGGCAGTATTAATATGCTTTCCGGTAGCAAAGTCTGTATTAAGTAAATCTAAGGATTATTCTCGTTATTTTAATCTGAGGTCCAATTGGCAGCGGGAATTATGTTTTGAAACCTATTTTAGTTTTTTTAGGAGACCTTCTTTGTAACGCAGATGGAGTTAAAGATACTAACAAGAATTAATTTTTTCATTGTGACTTAGAAACCATAAATAAGTGTTTGAGATTAGGTATAGCCTTATACAATTGAATTCTAAAATATCGCTTTAAATGGCCTTAAATATTCTATTGCCATTCCAAATATAACCAGCTTATGGTATTTTATAGACTTTCTTTCAAAGCACAGTAATATTAGCAGAACATGTTATAAAACAAATGCATTTGAGAAAAGCTACAGAGGTGGAGGGATGGTATATGAATCAGGTTTTCCGGATATTCGAAATTTTTTGAAAAATTTCGGCCAACTTCACCCTTTATTTTTCGTTTTCGCTAGTTTGTTTCATCACTTCATAAGCAACTGATTGTATTCGTATGATGATACTGATATAACGGTGCCATATTGGCGTTTATCCACTTGGCGTTGACGTTACCAAATATCGTATAGTTATATGTGTGTTTTTATGATATGGCTTGCTGGGTTGTGTATGTGCGCAAATTATATGAACGTGTGTGTGTGTGTAAATTTATCAGAGAGGAAATACGAATCCGTTTACAGCACTTACATGGGATTGCACAAAGAAATTGGAGTCATCGCAATTTGACAGGCAATGACAATCGATTTTATACCGGCTGGACTTGAGCGAGATGATATCTCCTGGAAATGGATGGTTGACAAGAGATATTGAAAATAAAATACATATTTAAAGTTTGATTTTAAGGAGTTATGAAATTTGGATAGAAAAAGTGAGTTAGACGAATTACAATTTCTTCAATTGAGATTTATTTTATTTCCACCAATGAGATCAATGTTCGGTGGTGCTACGTTAAAGCAACGGTTTTATAATTTCATCGTTTCTGCAGATATCTTCGTTTTTTAACGGAGGAAATATCTTCTTTCTAGGGAATTTATTTTTGTTCATCGAAAAGGTCTTTATTTCACTGAAAATGATAATTTACTGGTATTTTCGAAAACATGACATTTTGTTTAATTAATTCACGCAAAAATAAGATCAATGTAGAGTTTTCCACAATTATTACTGCACATACTGAGGCCTCTTTTGTAGATATGTCTAGATTAAGGAAATATCATCATCCGTCAGTGCTGCACCAAACTAGTCCTTTGGATAGAAGTAGTGACTAAAGAGGGCATAATAATTTGACATATCTGTACTGTATACGATTGAATAGTAACTTCTATAAGTTTATAAAGATTTTGATATATTTTTGAGCTTGATAAATATAATATATTTTGGTGCTATCAGAGGAAAGGAGAGATTGGCATTGAAAAGATCGCCTGGTTCCAAGTAAGGTGTCGAGGCTATATTTGAAATAACTTCTCCTGTTTGCATTATAAAGACTAGATGGAAATCTTTTCAAATTTGATTCTAACAAAAATCTACGAACATTTTTGAATAAGTCGTGTCCTCGTTGTCCTTTTATTTCACCAACTAAACTGTCCTTATAATTTTCGGAACCGAAGTCCACACAAAACCTTCAAAGCACCTACATTCATGACGTCAAGGTAGTTGGCAGTGGGGTACCCAGGTGACGAAAGTGAAATTAAAACTTTTAACGTTCGTCTATTTTCTATTATCCTCATTCCCGAGCTAAACTCCATATGTGTATCATCAGAACTAAATGCCACATTTCGTAATATTCAACCGACATGTGCATAGTGTAAAAGCGCGTATGTGTGTGCATGGTATTAAATACTCAACAAGACTGCTGTGATATGCAGCAATGAATGCCAAAATTTAGTTATGTCCCTTATGTCTGTGTGAGTATGCACGTCCCGGTGTGTGGAGGTCATGTTTTCATGGTTGCATGCAGCAGGTGTTCACAGGAAAAATATCATTTTCAGGTTTGCTATAATAACATATACATATATGGTGTTGATATTGGTGTGCATCTGCACTGCGTGTCCAGCATTTATTGCTGCCATTCAGTAATGCATACAACAACATGGACATTCCAGCGTGTCGGTCTGTTTGCCTCCCCAACCTTTAGTGTCGTTATAATTTCGTTTAGTTGCTACCCTCTCTGTCAATTGTTTCACGCTACTGTTCCTTTTACTATTTTGTGTTTTTTGTTTTGCTCACATGCTGGAGTGTGTCTGCCCGTCTTCTGTAGCGTGTTTTTTCTCTAACATAATTGGTTTTCTCTCCCCGTGTTCGTGCATTGAAGTTCGTGTGCACATGGAAGGCAGAGATGTGTGAAGCGGTGTTCCATACAGTTCAAAAGTGAAAAGTGTTCGAAGGTAGTGAATCGTTAGTACTCACGCAAGCTTGAGCATTGCTGGCAAAATGAGTAAATTGTATAATTTGACCATGAATTTTAATTTCCTTAAAATATCAGGATGTGGAATGTTGAAGAGAACCATTTATGCTGTGCGCTTAAGTTGTTGCGCTTTTGTTGTTAAGTAGGACGAACATTTTCGCCTAGCAGCAGTAAATGTTTTAAACCACTTCCAAAAGATTCTCCGGCTTTTAGGAGACATTTTATAGAGTATCTGATCGGACGAGTTTTATTAGCCAATAATTTCTTATGAGCTTTGATATTATGTTGGCCGGGACACTGACCCCAACAATTAGTAATCGTGTTTTCAACACATTCCTCTTTACTAGTGGCATACATATATTTTGAGTTGATATGTGTTTAAATGAGCTAAGCCTCCCCCTACATATACAAACCACTCTACTCGGGGAAAACTGGCGCACCATATTTCAACACACCACACCTGAGAACACCACTACACTTAGCAAAATGTCACCACACGACGACACCTCCCATCATCAAGCAACAAAAAGGATGGTTCTTCCACCATATATCTTTATTCGACACGAAAGTGATCCAGCACGCTACTCTATCCGATTACACACTGGTGGAATTCAATTAACACATAATTTCGCTCACCATCGAACTGGTTTAGCTACAATCATTTTATGTTTAAAAACTTTGTTATAAGACTAAAGTATCATTTTAATTTGTATCCGAGATCAATCGCATTTTTACTCACATATAATATTTAATATGCGAGTGTACCATGTGGTAAGTGAATTGTCAACAACTTAAACTCAGTTCTGGGTGTTTCCACTAAATTGGGCACCCAATTATTCAATATGAAATAATTTAAGAAGAAATAACTTTCCTAGTAATCAATAAAGACTTATTTGCGCCTAATTTACCTCCGATTCCAGTTTTCGTAGGTTAGCTTAGAACCGTATTCCGGGTTTAATTCATATCTTTTCAAGGCACGTGAGTTCGAAGTGTTAGATGGATCCAAATAGGAAAACAAAATGGTAGATTCATAACATAACAAACAGCTTAACAAAGGTGCAATAATGCCAAATCACATTTATTTGTGCCATAACAGAATTTAAACTTAAAAATATTAAAAAAAATTTTCGCAATTTATTGGGAAAATATTGAACTCAATACTGTTAAGAGACTTAGCAAATATCATACATGGTTTTTATTTGATTTTGAACTGATTTCTAGTGGCTAAGAATCAAAATTTTTTTACTCACTTTTTATATCCTCCAGACAGGCTAGTCCATTGAAGTCGCAAATACGTAAAATTCGTCCATTTTTCACTTTAATGAAGAAGAACCAATCAATTTTCGGATCTAGCTATATTTAGTTGCATATATGTATATATGTAAATTTGTATGGTAAAGGGTGTTTTACTTAGGTGTATAGTATTTTCCAGATAGAAATTCATCATCAGTGGTGGGATACATCTCTGGATTGATTCGTAATATCAGCAAAACTGTCATATTTTTTTATTGGCAGCAAAATTAAAAATATTTCACCGATCTTCTGGTATGCAGAAAAGGTTTTTATTGGGCGTGGTTTACATAAAGAAGTAAAATTTATTTAATTGAAGATTGATCCATCGTAAAAGTTATGATACTAGTAATTTCATTAGTTTTATGTGTTTTATCGGAAATAAAAATTCTAGACTTCTAAAAAAGCACCCTTTAATAAATTTTGCATTTCGAAAATCATCCATCAGAATAAAATGAGAAAGACTTAAGTTGTAAAAGCGTTAATTCCGGTTATCCATTTTGTACTCGAAACCAACAGTGATTTAAGCATAGTGGAATTACTGGGCATATACCTTTAGCTACATGTATACATCTGTGTTTCTGTGTTTAAATGTCTGGTTTGAATTTTGTGTTCAAAAAACAATAATTTACTCATCAAAGCTGACCAAATTGCCAAATATGACTTTATCGTTTCATTAACAAAATGGCGGTGATGCAACCCTACTGTTTTGGCGCCTAAATGATTCAATGGCAAAATAATTGGCTGAATTTCTGAGTTTTTTGCGTTGTCGTAAAATAATACAGCGCAGATAACTGTGAAATTGCAACATAATATTTAAATAAAAACGCACACAAGAGCGCAAATAAAATTAAATAGCCAATGCGTTGAGGCAAAGAGTAAATATTAACATTTGTTTAATATTCAAAATGGCGTCAATGGTTTTTAGCAAATAAATGCCTTGTCATTTTCAACGCCAAACACAGTGACCCAAACATACATACATATGTAGACACAATCACATAGCGCTGGGCGCGCAAAATAAAACGGATATTTTCATAACGGTATTATTATGGGGTATTGTTATTTGAATTCAGCACATCATAACGCTTTTTAATTATAACGGTAAGCATTTAAATTTTTTAATTATTTTAATTTCTCTGTTTCTAATTAATATAATGGGCTTGGCTCTCATTAAGCTTAATTGTGACAGAATTGTTCTCGTTTGTGCGAAGTGTGGTGATGTTTTTGGTGTTGCTTGCTGTTGTGGGCTTTACGTTAAATACTCACAGCGATTGCGATAGAAATGCGGCACACAACCGCACACGTTAAGTGCGAAAAACATGCGGCACTCGGCCAAACATAGCCCAAAACTGTAAATGGGCGAAGTTAGCATTTCCTCGGCTTCGTATTGATAGCGGCATTTGCGTTGTTTGGTGGTGAAGCTGTGGAGGTAATTTGTTTACATGAAATTACACTAATTTAATTTGGTAGACAGAGGGTTCGTGGTAAAGACGGACTTAATCTTAGTTCGGGTTATCACTTTCCCTTCGCTTCACATTCGCAAATACCTATTGAACCTCGTCTCACATGGTTTGAAATCTTACAACATAAACAGAAAAAAATTGTTACTAACTTCACTTAGATCAGTATTTGGCGCTTATTTTCAAGTCTTTATATTTGCAATTTAACAACTTTTTAAGTTGAAAAATAACTTATTCTTAAAACTATAGACTATGTAATCAAGAATAGATAGAGAGGCACAGTTTCATGTGTATACGCTATGCTAGTATTCTAAGAATTTCCATACTAGTCCTTTTGCTGGTAAGAAACACCTCAGCTGACTTGCTATATTCTGGGTACTGTGCCATATCGGGAGATAACTTTTCTTTGGTATAGAATGGGCTCTTTTTGGGTTTTCACTGTGCTTAAGTCACATTTGGTACTGCCTACTTTCGCCATCCCAAAAAAATTCCCGATGTATTTTCTTTGACTTCCAAAACTCCGGTTAAATTTTCAACTTAAAGGTTAGTTAATATTTCGAGCAGTCGCAAAAAAAGGCGCATTATTTTGGCGAACTTTAGTGGAATCCCCCAAATTAGAATTTGACGGTGAGTTTTATCTAAAAAAAAAATAATTGTCTTAGGCAATTAAGATAAATTAATTATCCGGGTCAACGAAAAATAATTTCTGTTTTTGTGCATGGGGTTTTTTAATATATTCTGGTTATATGTATAAACAAATATATATGGGAAACGAAAGTTAAAAATCGAAAATATTTGCTTTTTAAGCAATTATAGGGATTTGACAATTTTTGATTTTCCCGCCTATATAATGTCGGTCTTTGCGTGGTTTTACCGTCGAAAGAGAAGTAAGAGCACGAGAGATAGTGTTGCTTGCATCGCTTGTTGTGTATGACATTATGTGTTTGTACATTGCAGAGGAATAACATGTTTCATAATTTTGTTTTCTGTAAGAAACGTGCTTCGAGAATATGTAAACGAGACACTGACTCGTTTTGCTATATTTTGCATCTCATCAACTCTGAAGATTTTAATGATTTAATGGAAGACTTAAATCTGTTAAAAAATAAAGCAGAGTTAACATCGCGGTTAAAATAATGAAATTTACTGAATTCTGATGTTCGAATATTCCATCAGAGAAAACGAAATGAAAAATTGTCTTGTTTCTTCAGTAAGGAAGATGGACTCTGTTTTTGGCATGACATAAAAGGTTCATTTCAAGATTGTGGTATTCCTTGTTATACAACTGAATGGCGCCTTTTCATTGATAGCTCAACAAAAAGTCTAAAATTTGTTTTACTACTCTATGGGAACGACTTTCCTTCTATTCCATTGCCACATTCCGTATATCTCAAAGATAATGACGTTAGTATTGAAAAGCTATGTGTGTTTTTTGATTGGAGTGGATGGTGGGTATACTAAGTATATACTACATTCCTGTGACATTTCCAAAAACATTGGCCGGTACTTACCGATTACGAAGTGGGAAAATACAATATTATGTTAAATGGGAATGCAATTTTCGATCCTAAAATTATATTATATTAGTGCCGGAATGGAGGAGTAAAAACCCTTTAACAGTTTTAAGGTAGTAGTACATAGTTTCCTTGGAAACCATAGGACAGACAATTATAACGAACTGATCACTGACATGATTACGAATTTCTCCATCATCCGATGTAAAATGTCTTTAAAGATGCACTTGTTAAATTCTAACTTAGATAAATTTAAAAATTGTATATGAGCTTATTCGGAAGAACAAGGAGAACGCTTCCATCAAGATATAATGGAATTTGAGAGTCGTTATCAAGACCAGTACACTGAAAGCATGATGAGGGGGGTTAATAAGAGAAACTTCTACGGGACGTGACAGCAAAAGTAAAACTGCTGATTTTTAAACCTTTGCAGTGTATTTTAAAATATCTGTTGTAAGAACGAATGAAAAATTCATGATCGGTATCTTTTGATTAATCATTAATATGTAAAAGTTTTGTATATTTTTATTGAGTTGAATTTTTTCAATTTTTATGCATAAAAATAAATTCAGAACTATTTTTTATTATTCTTTTTATTTATTCTTATATTGAGGTATAAAAGCAACAAAAATAAGAAACGCACAACCCGTGCGCAAAAGAGCTGTAGACTGGTGTTATTTAACTTGACAGAATGATAGCTGTATGATCCTAAAGAAAATAAGAACTAAATGAATTTATTATAGGTATCTTGTAAAACTTGGGATTTTATTGGTCGGCCAGAATTTGTACGATGAAAAGGTTCAAATTTATTTAGTTCCCGGAAGGTAAATATTTACAATATCCACTGTCTTGATTATATTATTGTACTATTTAAAATTAAATTCAGTATAATTAGTATTTATTCGTAACCTCGTAATATATCCAATACTTACGCCCTCGCCTCCTCCGCTGTGTAGATCTCGACCGCGATCAATTCCACGGTTGTATAATCGGTTTCTGGAAATGTATAACGTTGCTTGGATATGTTTGGTATATCACCTGAGCCATGAAAATAAACGTCATACGCGGTGGAGAGGTTTATAATTTGTGCATAAATTTCACCATCCAGCGGGTGGACGGTGACACGATCTCCATGATCCAATATGCTCCAGTCGTTGCGTTTCCAATACCTAAAAATGAAGAGAAAATGTGAAAAGGGGAGACAGCTCAATGGTAGAGAATGTATAATGTAAAATCTGTCCCTAATTTAAAGAATTAAATAGAATATGAGACGAGAATATCCTTATCTAAAATTTCAAAATCAGATCCAGAGTATCTCCAGTTTATTGCTATGCTAACGATTTTGAAAGAATGGGCCGTATATTTACCATAAGCAGTGACAAGACGGAAAGAATCACGCAATTTGTCAGTCTTAGATAAAACCGAGAATAATATCCACTTAATTAACAGGCCTTGCCTCAAGGGCAAAAAATTAAGAGTATATGGACCAGTCGAAACTTTTCCCTCATATTTGAATAACTCCGTTCATGTAGCCATTTACAGAGTGAAGGAGAGAAAGTTCTCCAATGAGTCATGTTGATCACAAATAAGACTCTTTAAGCTACCCAGTAAACCCATTTCATATCAAGCACATTGAACGATAACTTCCTACAGACCATAGAAGCTAGCTAAAACCCATAATAATATAATGAACTCAAAAATAATTATGATTAAAAAATTTTTGGAGCAAACTTGCAATACTTACTCATAAGAATTATAACGGGCAACAAGCGAATTAATCGAATGACAAATACCGAATTCCGTGAGTGTTTCATAGATGAACATTTGCACGGCGGCGCCACTACTCATTTCCGGCTCGAAGTTCCACTTGAGTTCATACAGCAAATCCAGATACTTGTTGCTCGATATGCCGAAACTTTTATTACGCGGTAATGTCTCAATATTCTCATAGGTGAGGCGCGCCAACTTCTCGATGAAAATATGGAAGTCGACACGATCCTGGTCCGATTCGAAGGTTTCGGGATGTTTGCTTATTTAAAGAAAAAATATCAAATTTAAGAGTCGATTTAAGTGCTAAGTAGGAAATGTAAAGCTCTACTCACTTCATGTACTCTTCAACTTTAACTTCATCGATGCGTTTATGTGGACAAACAGTGAGCGAGGGAAAGCTCGTATTCCACACCAATTTATTGCGATCCATAGATATGACCATGGGTGAAGTTTGAAAACGTTCCCAAGTACGTTTACTCAACGAAATGATGGCAAAGAGCGCCACACAGATGAAGGCGAGCCAAATCATTCTAAGGACGGGATAGAGCAAACATGAACATACGGAAATATGAAACGGATGTAATTGTTAGAGCGTTCAGCAAGAGCAAAATTTTCTGGTGTATGAAAGAGAGTGAGTGTGCTTGTTTCTGCTTTCGTGCTTGCTAAGCTACATATGAGTGTGTGAATGACCGGCCGTAAAATGGCGTCATAACTCTGCGAATTTTCGTGCATTTATAAAAATCTATTGCGTGTAAATACGATTCTTTGGTTTTTACTGTTCATAAAAATCGCAGTCGCAAAAGGCAAAAGTCAAGTCAACAAACTCCCAGTCTGCATACTATTACACAACAGTATGTGTGGTGCTCATAAAAATTTTGGCGAATACGAAATGTGAAATGCATAATTTGCAAAGTTTTATCCAATGTAGCGCTTGGAGCAAATATATTATATTATTAGAAAGAGTCTAAAAAATAACTTTATGGAAAAAATTGTTGCATAAGTCAATGAACTCATTGCGATTTTTTTATGCGATAGGGTGGTTAGAACTTGGAAAAGTAACTACTTCCCGTATATTAGGGTACAAATATGGATTGTATAATAGAAATGTTATAGAAAAGGGTGAATATGGATGAAAATGAGGTAATAAAAAATATTTTTGTGCACCGCGTACATAAAGCGTACAAGAATTTGAGAATAAGATATGAAAGGAAATGGAGAAAATTTTCCGCTCAGGTGTTGGACTAGTGTCGCTCGTGCGAACGAAACGAGCGACACCAACCTAAAATTGGCGGATAATGAGCGACGTATGACATACGCATCGTCGTAATGCAGAAACAAATTGCCGACGCGACACTGTGCGTTTTCGAGTAGACGCCACAATGGCTCATAAAGCTTTTGTTACGAATCGTAGTGATAAGAGCATTGTGATGCGTTTCACGACATTTCCGCAATGATTTGAAGAAGATACAGAAGGTGAAGACGAGAAAGGTATTGAAGAAGAAGGAAGATGAGGAGAAGTAGAAAATGTTAAATATTGCAATAATTTTTTGAAATTAACCTCTATGAAGAGAGAACGCACAGCGAGTTCGTGGCGCTGCAGGGGGGTGTTGAGTGAATCTTATAACTTCTAGACTGTTATTTAAAGCATGAGTAAAAGGTTTCCCAAATAAAACACCAAGATTTGTCAACAAGAGTGAAACTTATTCTGGACAACCAACAAAGAAATATTTAAAAATGACAACAGTGCTTTTGAAAAATTTTATATCTCAGAAAATAAAAGATTTGAATCCACTTGCTTCTGCTAAAAGAAACCAACATGCTCGTTTTTTTCCTAAACAGGTTAGTTAATACTGTATTTCTGCATACTTATTCCATTATAATATTACTGTTTTAATATTATTTCCAATTATCACTTAAATTCTACTCATTAAACTTGTTAGTTATGCATATTTTGGTTTGTATGATAAACTATAATCTAAATCACTTTTTACAGCAAAATTTGTCTAGTGGACCTTTTGCTTTGATGGATAAAAACTCTACAGATTTCTCTGTGGCATTATGCAATAGAGAAGTATACAAAACTGATTCCAAAAGAGACAATTCCTAATAAATCACAATCAACATCTCATTCTACGCCAGCACAAGATGCCATTGAAAAATAAAATTTTATTGATAGAGAGTGAGTTGAATACCAGTCTTTTACCTCGTGATTCTGGTCTTAGAGGACTGCAAATTAGCAAATGTACCAAATTAAAATGATGTGGAAAATTAAGGAGTAATTTGCGAATGATTTTATTTGATGGACTTATTCCACCACCTCATCCTCTTTGACAAGGGCAAACTTTAGATATTCCCTTTCCTAAAGACCAAGCTAATACTAATTTTTGTCCTTTATTTGTGCAATTATCTCTAAAAATTTAGATTCAGGCCGTTCAGACTTGATTCTAACACCATACGATTTTTAGTGTCCTATAATTAAAACACAGTTGATCGCACGTACATGTCCGACGTGTGGATTAAACTTTGCATCAAACGTAGCCTGTGTCTCACATCGTACAACAATAATACTCATGATGTATAATGGTATGACAATGAAGATATTAATATCGAAAAGTTAGAAGAGTCTATAGAAGAACAAAAAGTATCTGTCATTCTGGTAATCGAATCAATATCCGATTAATTAGTTAGCCCGTGGGTAAATAACAGTTAAATTTTTAAACTGTTATACTCTTGCAACTTGTTTTCTACAGAGTATAATAGTTTTGATCACCTAACGGTTATTTGTATCACCTAAAACTAATCGAGTTAGATATAGGGTTATGTATATATAAATGATCAGGATGAAGAGACGAGTTGAAATCCGCGTGATTGTCCGTCTGTCCGTCCGTCTGTGCAAGTTGTAACTTGAGTAAAAATTGAGATATCTTTATGAAACTTGGTACACATGTTTCTTGGTACCGTAAGACGGTTGGTATTGCAGATGGGCGTAATCGGACCACTGCCACGCCCACAAAACGCCATTAATCAAAAACAAATAAATTGCCATAACCAAGCTCCACAATAAGACACAAGACTCTTATTTGGTACACAGGATCACATTTGGGAGGGGCATCTGCAGTTTAAATTTTTTTTAAAGTGGGCGTGGTTCCGCCCCCTAATAGGTTTAATGTGCACATCTCCTATACAACTGAAGCTATAACAACAAAATTCACCGAAAACAAATGTTTTTAGCACTTCTGTCGACAGTGTGAAAATGGGTGAAATCGGGTGACAACCCCGCTCACTCCCCATATAACGGTACTGTTAAAAACTACTAAAAGCGCGATAAATGAAGCACTAAACAAGCCAGAGACATTAAATTTTACCTCTAGGATGGTATAAGATGATTTAATAGGAACCATGTTCAAAATTAGATAGTGGGTGTGGCACCGCCCACTTTTAGGTGAAAACCCATATCTTGGGATCTGCTTAACCGATTTCAACCAAATTCGGTACATAATATTCTTCTCATATTTCTATGTTATAGTACGAAAATGGGCGAAATCGGATTACAACCACGCTTATTTCCCATCATTTTAAATTCCATCTGATTTTTTCTCTTTCCAGTATGCGAATCAAGCAACAATGATTATATCGGCGTAAAACTTTGCGTGAATAATACGTTTAAACTATGCCACCTTGTGACCAAAAATTTTATAAATTGAACCAAAACTGTTCAAGCCCCTAGGTACTGAATATGTGGACCCCAGCGCCCATAGAGCAGGTTCGCCTCCACGCGGTGCATCCTGGGTAACGCTAAATGACCTGCGGCCTTCACGGCCTTTATAACTCCTACGGATTTGACCTTTGCTCGACACGGACTTAGCTTGGACTATTAGATGGATCGGTTTGAACCCTGGGCTGGTGGTCGTGGTATTCTGTCACCTGAGTATGTAGGGGTGACACCCTGCAGAAATGGCTGATGGGCTAATACCAAGGCCGCCTCCGTCCCGTTAAAACCATGGCAGGCCTCAGAGTACGTTCCCCTCCTGTCATCATTAAGTTGGTGTGGTAGGTGTTTGTGGAGATGACTCCTACTTTGCGCTGGTCGGCTCTGAACGCACTGCCTCATAAGGGCGTGCGTCAACCCTCGCCTTGGCCTCGTAACCGAGACAACCTTGGGACCATTTAAAGGCGACTACCTTTCCAGGAGACGGATAGCGGCTCTGAGTGGGGACCCAATTACAATGAACACAAAACAACAACAAAACTTAAACAAGGACGAGGGAGGAAGTGGGTCGAAATCGACCTCTTCAAAAGTGGACAGTTCCCTTGGGGGGGGGGGGCATCCTCACCGATGGGGACGAAACCGTCTCCGCCGAAGGGTGAGAAGAATAATTCCGAGAGTGACCGGCTAACACCATTGCTAGGGGCGGTAACGTGGGGGGAGTGGGCAGGAATCTGCCGACGGACACCTTAGGCAGGGCGGAAGTGCGCGGCGGAATCGCCAGCACTAGCAGAGTGTTCTGTTAAGTACATGGGGGGCGCGGGGTCCTCAGTGAAAGCTAAGGGCTCCGGGAGTAAACGCCAGACTACAGCTAAAAAGCTGAAGTCGGACCGTCGGCTGGCTACCAAGATTTTGGAGCGCTACGGTGGGAAGCAGGCTAACCAGGAAACTGATCAGCATGCTAGCACACTTGAGTGGGCCAAAAGGGTGCTAAGCGACGTCAATGTCCTCCCTCGGTAAGTAGCCTCGAGTCGGAGCGGCACCGATGTTTAGCGAAATCGCTAAACTCGCCAGCTCAATTGAGCTCGGGGTATACGACAGCAGCAGGGGAGATGGAGCCATCTCCCATGAAGAGTGGAAGCGGGTAGCGGCTGCTATCTCCGCAGTGTTCATGAAGGTGGTCAGGGGAAGCCCTGGACCACCCCCTAGATGTGAAAGTGTCGGGTGGAATCTCGGCTTACACAAACTTGTAAGGTGTGCCGACGAACGGTCGGCATTCCTTTATAAGGAGGCGGTAGCCAGGGTGGGGGAAGTATGGAAGGGAGCAAGGCTCGAGGCGGTGGCCAAATCGGATCTTCCGATGCGACCTCGTGCTCGTGTCTGGCTTCCGGCCGAACCCTCCACCCCGACCGAAATTGAAGAGATATTGCGGTACTGCAATCCAGGACTGGAAGGTGGTTAGGCTGGAGAGGACCGAGGAACCATATCGGCAAGCGCTGATACTCTTAAATAAGGAGTCCCTCGCTCCTCTCAGCAGTGCAAAGGGGGCCATAAGCTATGGCTTCGAGAGGGTCGTCCTCAGGATTTTCCCAAATGAAGCCAGGGCTGATGGCCTGTCGCCACCAGCTGAGGTGGAAGAGAGTGGGAGAGCCACCCACTCTAAAATGGATATCGGCCCCATTCTCTCGGATACGGTGAGCACGGGGGGCGGATCGTCAGTCGATGATGGATCCGTTTTCAGTCTCGACCGTCTGTTTGAGGCTGCTGGGGTCGATAGTACGGATGAAGGTGCGGAACTCGCACTGCTGGAGAGGAGTTTGAAAG